AACAGGCTTTTGACGCCGGGAGTGGGAGTGGGGAGTGGTGGAAACAAAAACCCAAAAGCTTGTTCTTGCTTCATCAGGGGATAGACATCTGTAGAGCCACTGAAATCACTGAAATAATGCAGCCTGTGTTTTGTGCCATATCCAACACCTTGGGAATTTCTGTGGAGAACACTCTAAAACCTTAGCACAAGTCCTGCAGGAAGTGGAGAGTCAGGGAGGTGCAACTGTTCAGAAATTACCTTCTTTTCATCTTCTAGAGGCACTCTGTGGAATTTGAAATTACTGTAGTCGGTATTCAATAGGGCTGCCCAGGTCTAAATGTAGTAAACTGGATGATTCTTCCGTCGGTTATTCCTTTTTGAGCTCTCTTCCCAAGATACTGCTCTGTGCACAAGGGGATTTCTGTAATAATTACCCCTGAGTACCCAGTGGAATAAGTGGTAATTACACCGTCTAAACATAGAAATAGATCCTTGTGCCATTGGTTACAAAACTGACAGGAAGCCTTACTCCAAATTTCTAAGGTTTTCTTAGTTTTCGTATTCCTCTAGCACTGCAAGATTGAAGATACACACAGGGTTTCACAGACTTTCTTGCTCTGCGGCTTATATGAACTACCTGTCTCGTAACTTGTATAATAAACAGTTGCTATACCCTTGGGTTCCTTTCCTCAGCTGCAGAGTAGAGACACCAGATGTTCTGCAAAATGAAATCCTTCATGATTATGGGATTGCTCAGAGGGCCTTAATACCTACCCACCCCCAAGAGAATGAGTCAGTCAAGCAAACCAGAATACTATTCCTATTTCCTGTCAGCACAAATGGAAATCATCACACTGTTAGTAAACCATGCCACCAAATGGAGGCAAAGAACCAGATGCAAAACTGGCAAAAGAAACTTATACCTGTGTTGTAATGGTCTGAGAGATCATATAGAGGACCAAGGAGAAAAATTATTTCATTGGATGGAGGCCCACCTTCCCCAGTACTTTTGCCAAGCTAGAGGGTCTCAGGAAGAATGAAAATGTTGAAAAAGCTAAAAGGCAAACTGAGATCTTGGAGACAGTATGTGCAATTTGTACCACTATCCTAGAAGGTCTGCTCAATATCAGTTCACAATATTCTGCTCCTTCACAGTTATGTACTAACCTTCACCCTTAATTATAGAAAAACTATTTATCTCATCGGACCGACTTGCTGAATTAAAGATTCTAAATTTCTTTTTCATGCCTTGGGCCAAGTCACCAAATATAAACCTAGAGTTCAGTCTCTAAAGATAGCTAAGAATTAAGATATTCCTGCTCCTGCATCCTAAATAATGTAATGGAATCAATTACAGTCTTGCGTAGATGACATCTGGTATTTGCAAATACATGAAAGACAAAATCCAACCAAAATAAGCATGGAAATAGAGTTACCACCTATCCTACTTCATCCTCATTAAACGTATTATTGTTTTGCATCATGGTGTGGAGTTTTCATATTTCTTATAGACTTCAGCTTAGAAGCTCTCCGAGAGAATGTGACACAAGCAGAAGAAAAGGTCTGATAACTTTGACTTCAGCCAGTGGTTAAGCCAGATGAGTGAACATGGTTCGTGTATTCAGTGAGAACCCTGTCCCATTGCTTGGATTTTCAGCCTTGCGCTTTTATTGATCAGCGTGCCAGTCACGCCAAGCTAAATAACAGTTTGCATTGTCAGATGCAGAAAGGTTCAGAGCGAACACCAACATCAGCTGTGGAAAAGACAGAATCTGAAATGGATTAAATACAGCTCTGTCCCACTGTGCCAGTAAGATCTTTGCCCATTATATTTGGAAGCTAAGGATAGTCCCACTACACAGTATCCATGTTATCAACCCATTTCAAAATATATCCCATTTCAGCACTTTCCTAGCATTATAATTAATGTTTTATCAAGTAGCCAAACATCCTGTATTTGGGCTAGAATGCAAACTATCCCTGGATGTAAGTACATAGGATTTCGTGGGGGTTGGGGTTTTTTCCTTTCCCTTTTTTTTTCCCTTTCAAATAGAGCTTAAATAAATAAATATAACTGTACCTGCAATCAAGGACTGCCCTCTTCCTCCTCCAAGTAACACATGGTCAGGAAGGGTCATGTCCTCCCCATACTCCAGAGCAGAGTCAAAGCACAGCAAATGAAGCAGTCCCACTCTAAAGACTGGCTAGCCTGTGGGCTTTGAGCAGCCTTGGAGGACACCGTACCTCCTGAAATGCTCTACAATGAAGACCCATGTTTCCTCACAACCCCTGTTGCTACCATGTACTGCCAGACTTGCAAACCTCCAAAACAGTTGGCCGTGGCAGTCCATACTGAAAGGTGAAGTCTGGAGAATTTTCAGTGGTAGAGGTTGCTGGGCAGGGTTGAGGATGTCAACCATTCCTGTGGAACCACACTTCTGACTCTGCCCCCCGGACATGCCCTGTACTGCATGTTGGGAATTACAGTTGCAGATTTTACCTTTCTGCAGCTGCATAACTCCCATCTGTTTCACCATTGCTTCCTGCTAGTGCAAGCAGGGACGAAAGGAAGTGGTCCCCACGCTCCCTTCGCCTGCCTGATGTTCTGTTTCCTCCCTTGCCCTGACCCAAGTGCACCTTCACAAGCTGAATGAGACTCTGTCTTGAACCAAGTCAAAATTTATTTTATTTTTTTTTCTTTCCCCTCTGGATTAATTTAAAATCACACCTACTCTTTTATCCAGTTCACCAAGTACCTGCACAAATGCTGCTGCTAGCACAGAGAAGGTGACAGCTCAGGTGAGGGAATGAGTGACTGTGATCTCTGCAGGAGAAAAGGGAGAGAGATTTATTTCAGTGGCAGCAGCAGCTTGTGCTGTGTTAAAAGTTATTGTGAAACTACAGGAAAATCACCAACTGTCATCCTGTCTGAATGGATAACCTTCATCCTGCTCCCTTGTATTTATAGAGCAACAGATTCTAGCCATATTACATTTTATATATATAGCTAAAGTTGTGTAAGAAATGCATGACTTTAGGTATACAGGTGGAATGCATGGGATGTTTTCATTCCAAGATTACAGCCCTACAAATACCTAAATATGGGTAATTTCACTTGTTTCTAAAACTAATAAATTTTGTGGGTTTATACAAATGTTTCTAGAATCTCTCTTTCTTACAAGAAACAAATGTTCCCTGTGAAAATATCTGGCTTTACTTCCTTTAAGCATAGTCATTGCACTTGCTGAAGCAAGTACGATTCACAGCATGACACAGCTATCTGTGAAATAGTTTAACTGCATCATGCGCAATCAGCAGAAGTTCAGCACTGTAATTTGGTGAAAGTGACTCCGCACTGTCACTTCACTGTGTGAACCACATGTTGTGCTGCAACACTTTTCCTTTCCATCCCACCTATCGTAAAAATATGGGCAGTTTTTCAATTATGTCAAAGTATCCCTTGTTAACAACACATGTTTGCATTTGATTAAAAAATGGTGTGGGGTTTTTTAGTATTTCATTTTAATCTTCAAGAGTTCAGCAGCTATAAACCATAAGATGTAGTATCAATAGCATAAGCAAGTGCTCTCACTACAGGTAGTTAAATGCTTCTTCAGTGTTTAATTTGACCAAACACTTCAGACGTTACTTGATTCTACTCATTGACAGTGTATATGGAAAAGTTAGCTATGCAAGAAGCTGTAATAACCACCAACCTTGAGTTTTGCAGCGTGAGTTCAAGTTCTGAAGCTCAGTGTCCTTGCTACATGTTGCTGTGTGTAAACCGTCTATAAGGACACTATTACAGAAGAACTTCAGGAGGTTTAGCAACTACATAAATGCAAACTCTCACAGCTGCTGCTTGAACGCATGTAGACAGAGCAGCACATCTCTCGGTTGTCTGTGCATGATGTATCCAGGTGGCAAACCAACAAGAGCCTGCCTTTCCTCAGCGCTCCCGGGGGTGTGGAGCACAGCGCAAGCTGCTCACACCAGGCCATCTTCTACTTACTTCTGTTTTAAACTGGGCTTCTCCCCACAATAATCTGTTTGTACTTTTTCAAAGGCAAAAGTACTAAATTTATTCTGATTTATATCATAGATATATGCTTGTAATATATATGTATATCATATATATGCTTGTAATAGCCATTAGTTTGGGAAACTTATATTTGTTGTACAAAGATGTGAACCATTAGAAGGATCCTGACATCTAAACCTTCCTAAATAACATAACATAGGAATAAAAGTTTTAACTTCTTTGGAAAAGTAATGCATGGAATATTACTTCCAGCTGCATATTGCAAGTCACTGGAAAGAAAAATACCTTGACCTAATAAAACCTAGGAAAGACTGGCAATGAGCAAGAGAAAATCTTCTGTGTCCAGAAAATAGTCCCAAAGTTGGAAAAGTATTTTGGAAATACATATTTATTATTCTTTTTATTTACAGAGAATAAATCTTAAGTAGCAAACCTCACAGTTATGACACATAATAATCTTGGCTCTTAGCAGATAGCTATCAGTCCTTGTGATATAATATCACTTGTATCAATGTCATTGGTCTAGCACTGACCAGAGACGTTAAAAAGTGAAAAAGATCAGTTTCCAGCTCATGTTTGTAGTGCATAACCATCCTGCTGTATTTTTAGTACAATGGAAAGAGCTGTGATAGTCATATGGTAAGGAACAACTCAGTCTCTACCAAGTGCTACACAAGCTGTGTAGCTTGCTGTTCAAAAGGGTAATAAACAGTCCTTTTAGTCCAGCCAAAGCGATAAGAATAGATGTGAATCAGCTGCACAGTAGCGTAAGTGTGTCAGTAAAATGTGGTCTTCTGGAAATTGCTTTTAACACAATAGAACTATTACTTGGCCAGCACAGTTGATGGCCATGTGCTTTTGTTGCCACAAGCTGTGAGAATCAGTAGAATCAGAGATTGCTGTAGAAATGTGAATGTACTTTATGACGATCTGTAGTAATTCTGTACATCTCTTATGTCTGTGTTCTTATAGCCACTTGGGCACTGAAGTAGCTGAAATGAGAAAGAGGCAGCAGTCACAAAATGAAGGAACATCAGCTGTGTCTCAAGCACCTGGAAACCAAAGGCCCAACAACACATGTTGCTTTTGTTGGTGCTGTTGCTGCAGCTGTTCATGGTATGTTCTGTAGTATATTTGGTTCCATATCCACCACAGGTAAACGATGAGAATGGAAAGTGCCAAGCACTGGGAACATGCAAACTTCTGGAAAACGATTGCTGCCAAGAGGCACAATTCAACATTTCACTTAAAAATTTGATTAAACAATTCCCTGATTTGATTGGATATCTTGTGAGGGGGAAGAGGAGAAAATAGTAAATTCAAGCTATATTTACCCTACTTAAACCGTAACTAAATGAGGAAATTTCAGTTGTAAAACTACTATGTATGAATGAGAGACTTGATACTGAACATTTTATAATTTACATTCAAAACATTTTTTTTCCTGCTTGTACTTTTGATATTGCAGTTCTCTGCTTTCAGGAGGGTAAAAGGGAGATGGTCATAAATGTGAATATATGGTGATCTGGTTTACTACTTAGTTGTTGAATAATATATATTCTGTAAGTCTGAAAGCACAAGCCTTAAATTCCACTTCATCTTTTAACTGGTGTGGTGTAATTTTAGTGGAAAAAAGGCTCAAAAACTGTGGCTGCTTGTCTCTTCCTAAACAGAGTTCACTTGGAAAGTTAAACAATTAAAGCCAGTTTCAGAAACAGCTTTCAATTCTCAGTGTCTCAAGATGCATCAGGTCTTTATTTCTTATTTTCGTGAACACAGTTAGTGTTGAAATACAAAGCAATTGACATGCAGTACTGTTCGGAGCCTGTGCATCCTGTTACATACACAGTTCAGTCTTTTTGGAGTGACTATTCCTCTGTGTGTCTGTGTTACTTCCACTTGAAGCAGTTGTCTGGCCCCAATCTAAAATCTGAGGCTATTTGACCCTCAGTATATTTAAAAATACATACCAGCATGTATGCACCAGGCGACAAACGGGACAGCTTTTTCCAAGATGCCACGTCCTGAAAGCAGTGCCAGGGTGGACCTTGGCTGTTACTTCCAATTTCACCTGGAGGCAGAGGATATCTGGAGCAAGAATGAGCGAGAGCTGGTGCTTTTGTGAAGTTACTTTGCAATGTGTTCAATCCACACAGCAAAGAGGTGGAAGTGTATTAAATGGGAAGAAAAGGGAGGATGTTTTGCCACTGTTATCTCTGCTTTGTGACAAGGGTGCAATGTAAGATTAACTGTACTGTTACAGACCAGAGGTTCATTTAGCTCAGTATCCTATTTCAGGAAGTGACCTGTGGCAGATGCCACAAGGAAAGGATAACACAAGTGGACATGCACCTCCTCAACCTACCCACAGCAAAACTCCTCACAACTTCTGGCAGTCTGCAACTTAGGGACTTTCTGGCCCAGAGGTTATTTCTATGTGTTTTATGGCCCTTGATGGAATTTTATTTCATTAATTTGTCAAACCATTTTCTGAAGCGACTTCCTGAACTCATCTAAACTTTTGGCATCCAAACTTTCCCATAGCAATAAATTCTACAACGGACCTGGGCACTCTGTGCACTGTTATTCCCTTTTAATTGTTTTAACCTACAAGGTGTTAATTTCATTTGATGCCTCCTTGTTCCTATGGTTGTGAAGAACAGTTAATAATTGTTCCCAGGATGATCAAGATTTTATAGAACTCTCTCATACCCCACTTTAGCTGCCTTTTCTTCCATAGTCTTCTTTATTTTAATCTCTGTGATACAGAAACTGACCCAGACCATGGTTTATCCTTTTGTGTCTCTCTATGTACCTTTCCTGTTCTACTGTCTCCTGTCTGAGATGTGTGACTAGATCTGTTGCAGTAGTCAAGACATGGGTGCACCAAGTTTTGTGTTTGCTTTTGATTTTTTATTATTAATTCCTAGCACTCTGCTTGCTTTTTAACAACCCCTGAGATGATGTTTTCATAGAATTATGCACCATGACTACAACATCTCTTTACTGAATGGAAATAAGGCCCATCATTGTGCACGTACAGCTAGGATTGGCTTTTGCCTTGCATACTGGAACATGAATGGCCATAGAAGTATCAACCTAATTTCTAAAACTTAAAGACAACTGATTTTATTTTTCAAGCATGCTATGGCTCAAGAAGTCTTATTTGACAACTATACTTTATTTTGAAGCTTTCATGAGCTTTGTGACCCTTGGAGTGCCTCCACTCCTTAGAATGCAATACCATTATACATTTGAACAGCTTATGCATATTAAATCTAAATTAGAGCAATTATTGCTTTACATGTAGGATGTCCCTTCAGCTCCTTTAATAATTGGTTTTGATGTTATTATCCTGTCTTTTGGGTTTTTTCAGGGGTCGAGGGGTTTTTTTTTGATAAAGTAGATTAGACTAAGCATGGAGAAATCCTGTCAACTTAAGGTAGTTTTCAGGATTAAGTCAAAGAATGAGTCAAAGGGAATAGTGACATCACTTGCATTTTCTAAAATCAAAAAGGTAGAACAGATGATATAACAAGTCTCTTCCAGCTCTATCTTCTGTGATTCCTTAGAGGAAACTCCACTAGAGAAGAGATGGGACAAAACTTTGAAAAAGGCAATATGAAATGTTTCAGAAGCTCAGTTTAAAATGAAGGAATTAATTCTGGTGCCAAATTTGTTTGGTACATTTGAATTGTCCAGGTAGAGTATAGATTACTGTTCTTGCTTCAGTTGTGTACCCTAAAAAACTACCAAAATAATTAAAAAAAACACCCAAACATAAAAACCTTTACCTGTCACTTATTACATAGGGGATTCTAGGTAGGTAATTCTCTAGGGTAGTTCTCTGTAATAGGTAAGACTAATCGATGATTGTAACAGGTTCTCTGGACCTAATGTAATTGTATGCTTTCCCTAGTTCCACAGGTCTTTGTATTTGAGTAATGTGAATTTCTCAAGAGATACCTGATTGGAAATGTTGCTGGATTCATTAATGGTGATGACAATGCTTTAACTGTCATTATCAAGATTAGGAGATTTTTCTTCTGCTTTTCCATCAGCCTGTGTGACTGAGGACAGCTCTTATATCACTAACCTCTTAGTGCCCCAACTTCCTCACCATTCATAAAAAAAACCCAATGGGGGTGGGGGGGGGTGGGGTATGTGCAGCTTTTAGTAAGAAGCTTTCACTTTTATCTGTTTGAAGTGCTAGTTTCATAGTTCATATATCCAAACAAATGATTAGAATTATAAAAATAACTTTTGTGAATCATGTGATGTTTGTTTTCTTCTGTTCCGCCCTGTGTTAAAAATCAGAATAGGCATTAAGTCTTCTGTTTGTATAACAACATAGGCAAATATTCACACCTTTGTTTGGGGAAATAGTACCTTGCCTAATAGAGACTTGTTAACAGCAAAAAGTTAGATCCAAAAATTATTCAGTATATCTTATGACAAACTTCTTTTTTCCCTCTAATAATTCATTCTTAAAGGTAGTTTTTGGAGTACTTCTCCATTGTTGTGGGATAACCCTGTAGGCAGCTCAGCCCCATGCAGCCGCTCGCTCGCTCCTGCCCAGCAGGATGGGGAAGAGAATCAGAAGGGTGAAAGTGACCAAATTCGTGGGTTGAGATAAAGACAGTTTAGTAGATAAGGCAGAGCTGTGTACACAAGTACAGCAGAATAAGGAGTTCGTTCACTACTTCCCATCGTCAGGCAGGTGTTCAGCCATCCCCAGGAAAGCAGGGCTCCGTCATGCATAACAGTTACTTAGGAAGACAGACGCTACAACTCTGAACCTCCCTCATTTCTCCTTCTTCACCAGCTTTTATTGCTGAGCGTGATGTCATACGATGTGGACTATCCCTTTGGCCAGTCGGGGTCAGCTGTCCCGGCTGTGTCCCCCCCAACTTCTTGTGCACCCCCAGCCTCCTCACTGAGGGGGCAGAGTGAGAAACAGAGAAATCCTTGATGCTGTTCAGCAACAGCCAACACACTGATGTGTTATCAACACTGTTGTGGTCACAAATCCAAAACATGGCACCATATGGGCTGCTATGAAGGAAACTAAGTCCATCCCAGCCAGACCTGGTACATCTATTGGCACTGATGATTGGCAGTACAGTACAAGTATAGGCTCAGTTTACGAGGACAAAGCAGGGCTGATTACCAAGGTTTGCTCAGACTGGAAAAGATGGAGATAAACAGGCTCCTTAAGATAGCCATTTTATTTTAATAGGTACGGTCAGGATATTGCCCAACTAACTTAAGCCCTGAACTGGTGCCTGAGCATCAGTAGTGAAGGAAGCAGTCCTCCTCAGTGGAGAAAATAAAGTGCTTCTGAAGTTCCCAACTGGAAAACCAGCAGGAAAAAAAAGGCAGATATACCCCTCTGGAGATCTTCTGTAGAACCTTCCTCTCTCCACTGACCAGATACAGACAATGCTTACTTCAGGAAAACTGTCTCACTGCAGTATCCAACAGATAAATACCTGTCAGGTACCTAAGGTGCTGAACTGAATCTCACCCTGTGTCTTAAGCTTCCACAAAACACCATTCCCACAGAGGACAGAAGAAAAGGCTTCCTTCCTAAGGTGGTAGCCTGAGAGTTGCAAAATTTGCAGTAAGACTCCTAACATGACAGTCTATAATTTCCTCAATTACACTTTCTCCAGAAAGCTGTGCATTTAGTATTTAGTGCTATGGCTTTAGTTTTGAGCTCAGCTTGGCAAGATAAGGGTAGAAGTCTACTCTTTCACCTCCCCAACCTTTTTTAGCAATCCATACTCCAGCTTCCTGAGCAGACATGAAGCCAGTCGTTCTCTTGCAAACACTTGTAAATCACATTCTTCAAAAAAACCTCTCAAGATGCTACCACAGGCAGGTTGGCTATTCTGCTGGTTTTATTCTTTCGTCTCCCACCCAGAGCAGGAGTCATATCTTTTTGTCCTTTCCTCCTTTTATATAATGTGCTCAGTGAATTTTAAAGCTGTGTGACACTCTGATGCCTGATAATCCCTCTCCTTTTACCTAGCACAGAAGGCTCAGAAGGCATCTAACATCTGCCCTGCAAGAGACCTTGGCAGTACAGGAGTCTGGGGGACATGAAAAGGGGA